CCACTTCTGCTAGTCCTGGTTCTTTTCCAATACAAAGCCCATGACTCACAGTTTCATATGTATTGGTTCTCAGATTTTAATGTGTATATGAATCATCTGAAGATTTTGTTGAAACAGGCTTGATTCAGTAGATGTGGGATGGGCCCAATGTACTGTACTTCTATGCAGCACTCAGGTGATGCTGATGTAACTGGTCCACAGACCGTACTTTGAATACCAGGTCAAAGGGTAATGTGAATTCTTAATTTCATCATTACTGCCAAGTTATATTCCAAAGTGATTGTACCAATTATACTCCCACCAGAAGAATATGGGAGTACTTATTTCCCACATGTTCTCTCTAATGCTTGAAAATTATCATAATGCATTTTTGTCAATCTGATAGATAAATCAGGGCATCTATTTTTTTTAAAACATGCTTTTAATTTTTAACAAATTTATAACATCTTTTTATATGTTTATTGGCAATTTTCATTTTGTCTTAACTGTCTGCTTATATTCTTGGCCCAATTTTCCATTTGAATAGTTTTGCCCTTCTATTTTATTGGTTTATGTAAATTCTTCATATGTTCTAGATATCAGACCCTGGTCTGTTAAATACATTGCAAATATTTCCTCCAGGAAAGAAAGTTCAGTGCAGTAGAGATATCCAGGGACTAAATGGCAGTGAAGGTGCTTAGCAGGTGCACAGTCGCTTCTTGGGAAGGAATTTGGTGCCTCCACCAACTGTTTGCACCTTTCCTTCCCATATTCATATGTCAAGTAAGAGCTTATGATACACATCAAGTTGTTTGTGGGCTTCCTTCATGAAAGAGGTGCAGGGCCAGGATGCAGATGTGAGACATCTCTGGACCACCAGTGCCCAGCAATGAGTCTAGTACAGACTGGACTCTCAGAAAATATTTAGTGGATAATTAAGTGGGCAGAGTTGGTTAGATGTGTGTAGTTACAGGATTCCTTTCAGGATCTGCTCTGAAGTTCAGCTAGGGGTGCTTTGGGACCTTGAATAGGTGAAAGAAGAGGATCAAGAAAAACCTTTGCTCCCAGTTAGAGGAAAGCACCTTCTGGATGTCCTGTCTCCTCTCATTTATCTTTTAGATATTTTGGTGCTCAGAGAAAGTAATAATAGCTATAGCCAATACTGACATGGTGCCTTTAGTATGCTTTATATAATTCATCCATCTAATTTTCATGACATTCATATGAGGTACGTGGTGTTATTACTATTATCCTCATTTTGTAGATGAAGAAACTGAGGCCTGGAGCAGCTAAATAATCTACCCAGGATCATACAGCTAGTAAATGGTGGAAGTAGAATATGAACCCAGCCAATTGGCACTCTACTCTGTGTTCCAAAGACAAAATATGAAAACACTAGGCCTGACACCTAATAGGTACCAAAAAATACTAATCTCATTGCCATCTCTCTCCCAGAAGCGTGCCTTTTCAGTCACTGACACCTTGTGCCTATAGCTTGGCAGAATCCAATCTTAGATCTCCATAGCCTTTGTCTCTGAACCTGTATCTGTCCTTGCTGGAAGCCCCATGATCCCAGGTTCTCTTAGGAACCTGGCAACTCCTCTCCCCATCTAGCCTGCATACAAATTGGGGCTTTTCACTATCAGAATCTGTTTTTTTTTCCCTTTAGCCCCAGCATCCTAATTGGCACCTCCAGTCCCAAGGCTTTGCATGGTGCTGCCATCTGGTGGGATAGATGGCCACTGACACTCCTCCCTGAGGAGTGGACTCCTGCCATTGCCCAAGATTGGTTCACTGTTCCTCTTTAACTCAGTTCAGGGGAACCTCTGAGAATATAATGGATTGGTGGCTGCACTCCATTAATAATTAGATTTTCCCAATTTTAGTGTCAAGGATATTTTGAATGAAAGCTTAGTGTTGGTGAGATGACACTCAGACTATGCATGTGAGTAGGAAAGTCCTACTAGCTCACTCCCAAATCCCATCAGAAGGATAGCAGCTTCGCCAGTGTAAAAGATGGGTGAAGTCCAAAGGCCGTACTGGGAAGACCCTACCAAGGATCTCTGCTTCTTTAGCACATTCTCACTTCCTCTTGTGGAAGGAGTGGGAGGAGACACCAGATTTATATCCTCAGAAGTTTAAAGAAAGACTTTTAGAGTTTCTGCTCACATTCATTATCTGATGACCTCTTCAGTCCTGATGAACTCTCCAGGGCTCTGATAATGACTCCATAAAGCAGAATTTATTTAAAGAAAAGGTGAGATGACATTCAGAGGTTAGATAAATGACCTAACTTGAGGATCAGAAATGTCTTCACCGTCTAGGATGAGTGATAGCAGCTTTCCAGGTTCAGAAAAGAGTCCCATATTAAGACTATGAAGCTCAGATTATATCCACATGTCTGGAATAAAGTGGGTGTGTCCAGGTCAACTTGTCATTCAGACAAAACCCTCAGAGGCTCTGGAATTACTTGTTGGATTGAATGCAATTGAATTGAGGATCAAAGATATGAATTCCAGGAACTGTTCATAAGAGAGCTTGTATGTGCTTTCTTATAAACAGTTCCTAGATGATACCTTCTGACCTGTGACTCTGCAAAATCATTGTGGCTAAAATCTTTGTGTCCTCTTTTATTCAAGGTGGGTCTTGAGTAGAAAGTTAGGGTCCTGGGGGCAACCAGTCTTCCATTTTGAATAGTCTATCAACCTGTGTGGACCACGGCACTACTGATGGTAAAGACAGACATGATAGATAGAAAGCCAACGAACTGGAGCCCAGCTAGCTAAGAAGAGATGAGCCCCTTGCCGCTATAGTTTTAATTCCTGTTAGTTTGCATTAGAGGAGACAGAAGTGATATTGCTTGGTAGAAAAACCAAATAGAAGGATGAAGTTTATGTGATTGTGCTCTGGCCTCGGGAAAGGAGGGACCATATTCTGGAAGGAGATTCACATGAGCCTGAGCAGCCACAATGTGTACCTTTCTGGTGTATCCTATCATTTAATCTTCAAAACCAGCTCTTCAGTGAAGTGTTGTTTTTATTTGATACTTGGGGGAAATTGAGCTCACTGATGTTTTGAAACTTGTCCAAGCTCACATAACTAACAGGTGATGGTCCAGAGGTTAGAACTCCAGAGTCTGACTGTCCCTCCAGGGAATATTCGTTGAATTGGTGAACTCAATCCTGTGACCTTTTAGAGAAGAGGGCCTATTCTGTGCTCTTACGTGTGTTCTTGTTATATTAATACCCTCCGTGGTCACACATTATCTTAGAGCATCAGCTGGTACAAAATTTAATGTCATACATGCTACTTTGTTTTTTTCTTGAAACTTATCTTTTAATTTGAAATCCCCCTGCACCCCCCAATGTGAAAAACAACTATGGTCTCCTCTCAGTCTAACTTGTGGTACATTAGGAAGGTCCTGGTAAGAGCTGAATTTCTAGGGCTCCCTTTGGGAGAGAGAGCAGAGTGGAAGCCAGGATGACACCTTTGCCATCAGCTGTGCCCAAAGCCACTGCCATTAAGTCCATCCAGCCTGAAGAAAACCCAGGTCCTCCCTTTGTGAGCTGAATTATGCTTGCAGAAGAGGAGAAGACCCAGGACTTCTTCTTTGTGGAGGCAGGCAGCAGACTGGCCTATCTTGATTTTTATTTTTCCCCAGAAACTGTGCACATTTTCTCCTGTCATGAACGTGTCCCACTCATGCACACTATTCTCCTCTCTCTCTTCTACCATACCCATCGTTCTCTCCTCCAATTGGAGGTGAAGAGAAATCTTCCCAGATCCCTAGTTGGTGCTTCTTTTCACAGTATCTTTTGTCAGCAAAGCACTGGATGAAGGGCCTTTGGCTGGTCAGGCCATAGAGTGCGTCTACTTTGGTGTCGTGCCCTCCTTTTGTAGGGCTAGTTTTCTGAATCCTGAAAACTTCCCTTGAGAGAGCCATTCTGAGCCCTAACAAGTCAGGTTAGAGTCAGGCCACTCAGAGTGTGCATGCAGCAGCTGCAGCCCTGACTTCCAGGCCAGAAGAATGCAACTTAGAGTAGGGAAATCTGTGTTTTAAAAAGCCCCAGTTTAAAGAAATTCTACTCAGCTATTGAAAAGTGGGTGTTCAGTAAGAGAGGGCAACATGAGCACAGTTCTGTTGCCAAAAGCAGGGACAATCAATATGTATAGGGACTGTACATGTTGTCCTTCCTCTTTGTGTCTCCTCCCACTTTACTTTTCTCTGGGCATTTCTGTGTAGGGTTTCTCTATGCACAGGATGAGCCTGGTCCCAAATGAATGAAAACTGGGGTTACAGGACATGGCCTTTAAGCCTTGACTTAAAGAAAAATCTAGGTAGCAAACAAAACAAAACAAAACAAACAAACAAACAAACAAACACGTGGGAGCAGAAATAGGTGATTCAGAGACATCTAATAGGTCACCGATTCTGCTTCCAGAAGATTCCCCAGGGGAATCTCGCTTTGACAACTGCCAAGTCTGGTGACACCCCAGGAGGCCAGGAAATAAAGGGCAGGGTGGAGGCCGAAGTGAGACCAAGGAAGGAGTGGATGACCACAGGGCCTGACCGCTTAAGTGGTCTCTTGGGGTCCTGACAACCGCAAAAGGATAGCGGAGTCAGTTTTCTGGTGGGACCTGCTCCAGAAGCCCCGCAGTCAGGGCAGATAAGGGGAACTGAACCTCGAGATCCCCGGAAGCCAGGGATTCCAGCGCAAAAACCAGAGCTAGGGCAAGAGCTGGAATTCCCCTACCAGCAGAATCTGCCGACCTGGGCTGGGGCTGGAGGCGAGCCATCTTCGGAAGCTTGGGTAGGGGCAGCCTGCGCGGGCACGGGTGGAGGCTCAGGCGCGTCCCTGGGGGCGGGAGCTAGGGAGGCCAGCAGGTGGGGCCCGGGGCGAACTCCGCCCCCCCGCGCCTTCCTCGTTGGTCCGCAGCCGCCCAGCCCCGGCCCCTCTACCGAGCCGGAGCGCGATTGGTGGTGGCGCTTGTCGCTCGGAGGGGGCCGGTCCGGTCTGCTCTGCCGCTTTCCCTGCCGCCGCTGCCGCCGCCGCGGTCCTGCTAGCTGCGCGGGCCGGTCGGACCGCCAAGGCAGCTGGAGCTTGGCGATGGGAAGCGGCGCGGCCGCGTACCCAGGCAGTGGCAAAGTTTCCCAGACGTGTGCATCGGGTCGCGCGGCTGCCGGCCACCCGTGACCGTTCTAGAAAGGCTCAGGGATTTTTAATTTGGAAAAAAAATTCTGTCTCATTTCCTTTGTCAGCTCTCTCCTGGTAGCCAGCGGCGCGAGCTGCAAACTTGGGCACCGCGGCTCCACAGCCATCGGACCCGGTTTTGGAGAACCTCGCGACTCAAGTGCAGCCCCAAGCGTGCTAGGGGGTGTGATCGCTGGGCAGTCCCGGGCGCGCATCAAGGAGGGGCCCCCGGGAGCTCTATATGGAGGTGGGAGTCCAGAATGGTGTGCACCAGGAAGACCAAAACTTTGGTGTCCACTTGCGTGATCCTGAGCGGCATGACCAACATCATATGCCTGCTGTACGTGGGCTGGGTCACCAACTACATCGCCAGCGTGTATGTGCGCGGGCAGGAGCCGGCGCCTGACAAGAAGCTGGAGGAAGACAAAGGGGATACTCTGAAGATTATTGAGCGGCTGGACCACCTGGAGAATGTCATCAAGCAGCACATCCAAGGTACTGGCGCCGCAGGAAACTTGGGCCGCCCACGAGACCCGGGAGTGCCCACACCGCGCTGGGTGTTTGGGGTTAGTGCGCATCAATCCCGCGAGTGCCGGGCTTTGGGGCCGCAGACGCTTGTGGGCTGGGGATCGGGTTCGTGTTAGCTCTTACCCGGGTGCAGGACCCTCAGTATCTGAGACCCTGCGCGCTTTCCCAGGGCACATGTGTGTGCGCGGGGCTGCACAAGCGGGTGTGGGCAGCACACAGTCGATATGGGGGCGCGCTGCGCACGTGTCAAAATGTGCGTGTGACACCAGGCTGGTTGCTCACCGGCTTTCGGGATCGCACACAAGTCCAGCTTGAAATTGTGTGCGTGTGGGCGTGTGTGTGTGTGTGTGTGTGTGTGTGTGTGTGTGTGTATACAAGAGAGTAGTAGTGCAAAAGAGCTCATTTGGTTACTATAAGGGACTAACAACGAGATACCGCTTGACTCTAGCTATTGGTATTTAGGACCACAGGCTGCGGGACAAGCCCAGGCTAGGAAGATTGCATACCCCCAGCCCCAGCCTCAACGCCAGCCTCCCTATGCTGGGTCCCTCAGCGACTGGGAATACAGGGATGCATCTGTGACTGGGTGGCTAATTAAACCAATAGTGATTCTTACCTCCACTATGGCCCGCTGGTCTAGGACCCTCCCTAGGAGCAGGTGTCAAACCCGGGAAGAAGGCGCTGGAGCCTGAGCTCTGTTCACTGCGGTGGTGCCTCCGCCCAGGACAGATAGAACCCGCCCTGGGCTGAGCCTTCCCGGCACCAGGCACAGGCGGATCCCAAGGTAGCTCCACTTTCAGGCCCAGGGAGTGGCTGGGGTGGAGCGGACAGACCTATGCGGGGTAGGACTCCGGACAGACCTATACTGGGTGGGCCAGGAGTCCAAGACTGCTCTGGACCGGTGCAGTCCAGGCTGTCGTGCACTCCAGGCTGTCGCTGGGAGTCCCAAAGGAGGATGGGATTCGGGGCATTATTTTGAGGTGACCCCATAGGATAAGCTGTCAGAAGGAAGGGATGGAGTTCTGGGCACTGTGGAGCCTCGTACACACACACACACACACACACTCACACACACAGGTTCCTCATGCTCACACTTGCTTTTTGTCACTTTTTGGCGTCCCCTGCTTTCTACTAGGAGTGTGAGCTTCTTAAGGGCAGGGCCAAGCCTAGTTCACCTGTGAACCTGGCAAGCCCACCAACCACTGGGGCCAGCACCGGAGGACCTTGACAATATTGGGTGGAATTGAAGGCTGTCTGCCCCAGGAGCTCTCTTGTTTACACCTGGGTGTCTGGGTTCCAATCCTTGCACCTGCTGCCCTTGCCCACCGGGTAAGGAACTGTTCTCTCTGAATCTGATGTGTGCACCTCTGCAAGTGGCCAGAATGGTTTGTTCCTTTCCAGGGAAGGCTTAGCCAGGTTCAGGTGAGTCTGGAGAGGTGTCCATATCTATTGTGCTTCTTGACTAATCTTAAAAACAAGCTGGTGGCTTTGACAGTTTCCCAGAAGAGGGATCCTTGACAAATTCTTCTTCAGTCCTGCCTCTGCCTCCCAACCTGGCATTGAGTTTGGCAGACAAAATTGTCTCTCTGATGTCTGCCTGTTGCTATTTCTTACTTGTCATCTTCATCCTTTGGGTTTGGCTTGACAATCAGCAAAAGAAAATCAGTGTTCGCCACAGGGCTTTTCATAATGTTCTGTGGGAGACGTAAGGCCATATCTTGCTTTGACACTTCCAGTTTTGCCTATAGATTTCAAGAAATTTTAATTCTCATATACTGTGAGTGTGTATATGTGCTCAAAATTATCTTCTTGTGTCATTCTGTCTGGTCAGGGAGTAGGTGAGCAAGGTACCACTTGGGAAACATGGAGAGTAAGTTAGGAGCCTGTGAGCTCAGCACAAAGGGCCCGTCATGTTGATGGTGGACCAGGTGGCATGATTTATAAGGCTTCATGGGAAAATGCATGAAATGTTGAAGGTGAGAGGCACTTTCGTGATTTTTTTCCAGGAAACCTTGTAACTGCATATTGTTTAGAACTTTCAAATTTATACCTGAAAAAAAAAAAAAAACCTGGGGAGATGGGTAAAAAAGAGACCAGGATCCTTGGAACATGGGTCCAGTTCTCTTATATGTGGGATTTCTCCTCTGAACACTCCTAAATGTCTGTAATCTTAAGAAAGAAAGGCAGAGCCACAACTTATAGTGGAGTGGGGCAGGGCAGTGACTTGGTAAAGACTAGACATGAGGCAGTGGAGTTCAGTGTGTCAATGACTATGGCTCCCTCCATGGTGCTAGAGCCATCCCTGAGTTTAGGATTGGGGAACACAGGTAAGAGGCCCAGAAAGGGGGGCTGGCCACATGCAGTGCTGTGAAGTAGAGGGAGGGAAAGGACAATAAGATCAGACCCCTGTGCTTGGTGATGGGCCATGCCCATGTATCCACTGTCAAGTTCCCTCCCATCTGTAAAGCAGTTTGAACAATCCACTTGACATCATGGAACTAAGAGGAGCTAGACAGCACTTACTGTTCGAAGAACTTTGCCTGTGTTGACCTGTTGAATCCTCACTCCTAATCAGGTAGATAATATTAACTCCACTTTACAGACATGGAAATAAAGGCATGAGGAGGTTATTTGACTGGTCCAAGATCAGGCCATTTCAATTTAGATGCGGTGTCCCCCAAAGGCTCACACGTGAGACAATGCAAGAAGGTTTGGAGGAGAAATGATTGGAGCATATCCTTAACCTAATCAGTGAATTAGTCCCTGATGAGATTAACCGAGTGGTGACTGGAGACAAGTGGGGTGTGGCTGGAGGAAGTGGTTCATTCAGGTTTGGCTATGAGGTATATATTTTGTATCTTGGGAGTGGATTCTTTCTGCTTTCTGATCATTATGTGAGCTGCTTCCCTCCGCTACACTCTTCCTCCATGATGTCCTGCCTCACCTTGAGTCCTTAGGAATGGAGCTAGCTACTTACAGACTGAGACCTCTGAAATCGTGAGCCTCTAACCTAAATAAACTTTTCCTCCTAAAATTATTCTGGTCAGATCTTTTAGTTACAGCAGCAAAAAAGCTGAGTAAAACAGGGTCTTTGTTCTTTTTTTCTTTTTATATTTTTAATATATAAACTGGGAAAATGCCAGCATCTGCTGCTCTGTTTTTCTGAGTCTGTATTCTGAGTCTGTAAACCATACACTATACTGTCCCCTACATGGGCCATAGGGTCACAGGGAAATGGCGCTCTCCAGGAGTCAGTTGACAATGGCGGAAGTGGATGTCAGAGTGAGCAACCTCAAGGGTAATAGAGGGACAACTGGAGTCAGTAGTCTTTCTGGGTGGAGATGCTTACCTTAGATAAGCTCAGGAAGCTGTGGGCTGTGTTTTGTTTCCTGATGAGGGGCAGAGGTTACATGCAGTTAACTAATGCTTGTTGACCACCCAGGGCAGTCCTGGAAATTCTACAGAGAGTGGGTGCTGGATGGCTGAGTGGATAGGTGAAATTGGTACCCAGTGTTGATGGCCAGTGCACCAATTAGTCATTAATAAAAGTGGTGCCATTCTCCAGAGGATATATTTTGCTTTGGAGTCTTGCTCAGGCTTCTCTTTTCTTTGGAAGGAAAGTTGTCCTGGAAGCTGCAAATGTCACAGAACATTCTGCAGGATGTTCAATAGAACTTGCAATTAGAAGAGGCTTTGGAGCATCACCCTAGAGATCTGTTCTAGTCATGACTGAAAAGTTTATTTTCCTCTTGGGGATTGCAGTGATATTTCATTTTAATTTGTTTTCTGATTGAATGATTTAATTAGATGGTGTTTGGGAATCTCTTGGGAATGCAAATTGTATTTTTGAGTTTTTTTTTTAAACAAAGTAAATGTTAATTGCGCTAGTGAGTAACTTCAGATTTTAAAACAATAATTCGGAGAGTTTGGAAACACAAAATAAGTATTAGAACAGGTTCAATCTCGGGACCTTGAGATAGTGAGGTAGATGAAGGAGAGGTTTTGCTAAAGGAAGACTTAGTGTTGCAGAACTTAGGGAAATGAAGTGTTGATTTGCTTCTTATTTTGGAAGTCCAGGAGAAACAAAAATGGCTTTCTCCTTTTCTTGGTTAGTACCTTTCTGAATCTGTAAAAGAATGTATCAATATTTAAGAAAATATTTAAAAATGAATATAATTGTCCATGATTCATTCTAGTTTAATAGCTATTTTGCAAATTTTGAGTTTTTCTTCTAGCTTTGTCTATTTGCTTTCCTATTTTAAAAGGAAGATGAAGTCATGATTTAAATGTCATTTTATATTCTTTTTTCACTTTGCATTTGGTAGAAGCATTTTTCTATATTTGCTACATAGTTTATTGGTTCAGTATCTCTTTTGGGGGTCTAATGTGTGCTAGGCATTGTGCAGGGGGGATGATTGGGGATAATAATGTCTAGATGTCTCTTATCTGTGTCATGGTGGACTTTTTTCCAAAAGATAATAGAAAGAAATGTTCTTATTCAACCTGTTTGGAGTTTAAGTTAATCCATTAATTGAAATATTGGGTCCAAGAGGGAAATCAAACAAAATATCACAAATATGGAGTAACTGCTTCTAATGTTATTCAAAATGTGCATCCATTGGCCAGTCTTCTCATGTCAGGCCAAAGTTTTGTCTTTGGGGTGAGTCTGACAATATGCTTCTCTCCCCTTCATTGCACAAACCACTCCTTTGGTATCCTGTTTACAGAAACTCATTTCTAGTTCTATTTTAAATTTCACTGGGAACTGAAAGGTACTTAGGAAGCCATCTACATCTGTTTTGTAGTCTCAATTTTTACAACTTTTGTCCGATCTTCTGCAATGATTTTGCTGATATGTTATTTGTCTGCTATGTTTAAGTGACTATCTTGTATAAAGTCTTTCTAAAGCATTACATTTTTCTTAGAAACAACCACTCCCGTCTTTTTAGTGGTCATATTTCATTGGT